TATCGGCTCGTGAGAAACACGGCTTGATTAAGGGAGCCCTCGCAGACGTGCTTTCGCTATCTTGCTCAGTAATCCAGCTCTCTTAGTTCAGCAGCTGACGCAGACACCCCGGTGAAGGAAATGACTCGCAAAGTGAAAGACCTCGGACCGGGCGCCAACGGATTGATGGGGGCTGCCATCAAAAACATCCACTATTGCTTGCCATCTCAGTCGTCTTGGGTCGATCTGTCACAAAATTAGATCTATATATGTGACAGGGCCACGGCTGTTCTTCCTCCGTATACGACCGATGTTACCCAGGAACTCGCTCCCGGCATACATGTCGCTGGATGAAAATAGATCGTGGAAAACATGTTTTAATCTGAAGTAACACTACGAACTTGCTTCGCACAGCATGAACGAGACGGCCAGAAATTTCATGTAGTGTCGAAGTTGCCTCCCTCTCCCTTTCGAGGCTTTGATAACGCGATTGCAATTATTCTTCAGATAATTTCCTCACTACGTATCAACTGATAGATCACAGACAAACCTTCATTTAGCAAAGCGACCGTCCAGTTAACGAGTTTTTATAATTTACAAAGTATTGCTGCAATCACTCGGGAATAAGATCAAACAGGCTTACGATATGGACGACCTGGCGGCGCTGTCTGACCAGCAGAGTCTGTACTAGACGGCGTCTTTGCTACCCTCCGTGATGTGACTCCCCAAGAGATGTAGACCTTTGGGATCTTATGAAGGGCCAAACTGACTGGTTTGCATTCAACCTTGCGGTGTTGGAGCAGACTGCTCAGGATGCTCAGTTCGCTGATATCAAGACGCCCAGGAGCAGATTCTACCATAGGTAGTTAGCTCGTGGCCTACTCTCTGTCACCACGCCTCTTCAAGAAGGTATGCAGAGCGCGTCTATAGCGCTTGTAGACTAGACCGGCATGTACATTCACAGGATGCACCTTTGCGATGTCGCGCGTGCATGCGACGCTCTGAGCTTTGAAAGTCTTTCTCCTATGTGCTTTGTTTCTGAGAGTGGGCCCACTATCTCCGCTTGATCGGATCCGCTGCCCCACTCCTGGTCCGGAGCACTGTGCAGGCCGAATTGTGAACAGGCCGAATTATGAACAGGTTGAATTACTGGACAGGTCAAATTACTGGACGGGTCAAATTACTGGACAGGTCAAATTACTGGACAGGTCAAATTACTGGACAGGTCAAATTACTGGACAGGTTTACTAGACGGGCTGAACTTTTAAACGTAAGGTGGTTTAGTGATTTCGATACTAATATTAACTAGATCGTGAAAACTACCTTTACTAGGATAGGTGGGAGCAAATAACTATATACGCTCTCGTTAGTTAGTAAGTGATATTCATGTCACATATTGATCTCACAGGTAGCTCAGCTTGTGTCTCTGTTTATAAGGAGGTTCGCAGTCGCCGAAGAAATGGCGGGATCACGGCGCCGACAGCGCAATATACTAACCCTTTTCAACGGCAAAGAGGCAGCGACGCGCAAGCACCAGGCCTCAAAACACAGGCTGCCAGCTTCAGCAAGCGGCGCGTTTGTCCGGTTGAAATTGTTCCTAAATCCCGTCAAAAACGCGGCCATGCATTTGAATTCCACAAAAGGGCCGGATTTAGTCGTATCTTGTAGTGTTCCCACAGACCCTTGCTTCGATGACCACTGGGAAGCCGTTAGCTGGAGCTCACTAAAGAAAGTAAAGACTCATCAGTGACTCTAATTGCGAAAACTATTACTGACTAGTCACTTATCTATTCTTTACCCTCTTTACTGAGGTCCAGTGCCTCAGGTCCGGCAGCAAATGTGAAATCCAGATTCCAGGTCACTTCCGAATCCGGATTAGTGCCGCGAACGCTGCGTGGAGATTGAATGAGACCGAGGTCATGTGTCTTCTTGATCGTCGTCATGTCACATGCAGGCTTAAGCTAAAGTTTCTTCCCCCGCGCCTATGATAATCGTTCGACCAGCCGACATGAAAAGAAACGCACCAATGCAATTCTCGCAAACAGCTGCATAGGGGCTTCGCTTTTCTTGCCGGAGCAAACAAGCTCAGAGCTTTTTGATAACACGTGCCAAGCCGCGGCAATCTGAGAGACTAGGTTCCAGCCCTTCGATAGCCTGCGAGTCGAGTCCAGCATCCAGACACAAATTGCTTGTGGGCGAGCGAGAGGGTACGCTTCATCGGTACCAATAGTCCTAGAAATGCTCATCTGGACAAATAGGTGCCTTGATACTGCATATGAGACCTAAAAGCAACTTCTATCAGGCTAGAAAATGGTGGTTCTAGGCACTGCTTTCTTCCTACTAATACTTTGGGCGGGCTAGGGGAGTAACCTAAGGTTGCTTCTGAACCCATCTTTCTCGAGGGTGATAACATGAACTCACTGGGGAACTTGTGGAACGATAGTGAAAAGTGCAACCGAGTGATAATAATGTAAACTGATAGGCAAGCGGTCGAGATACAATTCTGAAGGGGTGTTTTGAACAGCGCGTCGAAACCACGGCCAAGGAGCAAAGGGCAACGAAACAGGTTCGTATGGCATCGGTGGAATACACAACCAATTTCGACTTCTAGACAGCTTCTGTTGATCTACACCAAGACAATCTTCGTGCTGGAATGATGCTGGCCATACGGCCGATAGCAAGGGACCGACAGGCTAGATTTAAATGATGGGATGTTCCTAGGCAAGGTCGCGACAGACTGTGTTGGCACATGTTTGCGGAAGCTTAAATCATGCAGTGCTTTGCTTCCTGATCTTGCAGGCGTGCAGTGTTGCAGGTCTTTTAACTCCTTCCTCTTGGCCTCCTGTATCTGCTGCTTCTGTCAGCCCCTGCCCTCATGCCTGAGACTCTGCAGCTGAATGGCTGCGCGTCTAGAAATCCACTACAAGCACTTCAATAATCTTGAAAAGTGAACAAAGATTAAGTATCTCAAGGGCACCCGCAGTTCTCTGAACATTTCCTACTTTGTCAGGACTGACCTGTCAGCCTTTTGCGCCGCATAAGAACTCAATGCCCCCATGCCGCATAAGTGAGGGTCCTCGCATGATGGTCTCATCCTCGTCTCTGGCAAGAGATTCCAAGTCTTGGACGCAGTTGCGGCCTTGAAAGGACTGGTGTTGTACTCGTGGAACTTTAGTATGGGTGTAAAACAAAACTTCGCTGTCATGCTCTCGAGTCATTGGATCAGGTTCTTGTTGGTACTTTGGGTTTCTAGCCGGTATGTGTAAAGTATATCGCATAAGACGGGAGACTGAAGCGCTCTGCTTTCCCTTCCAATGCGTCCAGCGAGACGCGCTTTCGTCCGAAGAGTTGGAACTGGATCTAGCTCAGGGGTTTCGAACCATTCAAGTTGATGATGAAGTTTGCATATTCATACGCCACCCGCCTCTTTTCGAAATGGAATTGAACTCTGGTGTGGAGTTTTGGGAGCTTGTGTTGACTTGAAGAGAGTGCCTACAAGCGCCAGCTCGTGACATGCAGAGGGTGCTTCTTCAGTGGCACGTTGTTGCGGGGTGCTTGGAGCAGTAGTTCATATTTTACAGGCCAGCAGGACGAATGCAAACCAAATCTTTGTAGTTTTTAGGGCTGGATGAGAAGCTATTCGAACCTCTGGCTATGAATGTACGCTCGATGAGTATTGAACATAACGCCTGCCCTTCGGGTCAGCAATTCGTCTGTTCTGTGAATACGGTCGTTGACCAGAAGGTGCCTGAAGCTCAACTGGGTGAGTTCATGTTATGTACCTACAACTGCGGCGATGTACGAGAGGTAATGAAGTCTGAACGTAGTTTTGACCTTGCTTACGATGTTGTACGTGAAAAGTCTTGACTCTGCGCCATCGTTCGGGAAGGCCGTTGAGTTCAGCTGTATGCAATGAAAAACTGAGTGAGGTGACACTTCCTGGGAGAACGGTTACACTCAACATCCGGAAGCTCATCTCATGATTCAACATCACTAAACTTATTGAAAGTGTCTCATTGACTGATAAATACGACAATTTTAGATCCCCTTCCTCCGCTTCTCTAACACTGCTACCACTGTAAATAATCGTGAGAAGTAACACCAAGAAAGCCGGGTGATCAATACCGTAAAGGCGGCCGGCCATGCGATGATCATATCCCCCATAATAACGCGGGAACCGCGATGAAAGTCAACTTCCTTTGAGAAGCATCGTGTGATACCATTGGTTTCTTTTGAGGGCCCCTTCAGGAACTCGTCGGCATAAAGTTCAATGTCTGGGTATTTAACGGAGTATTGATCAAATGGTTGGCATTGGTGCGACTCGATGAAAGTGGCTCTTTCAATGCCGACAAAGATGTTGTCTCGGGCATCATCTCGAAAGTAGGCCCCCAAAACCAGTATCTTGAACTGGGCTTGTGAGGAATCGGACTGGGAAAAAGAGGGAGATGAAAAAAGAAAGAATTAAAGCATCTAGCAGGTCCTCAAAACTCCCGCTCATAAAAGTTTTAATCGCTAAAGTCACTTCTCCGGACCCGCATGCAACTACCTGTCGGCCCCTTCGTGCTGGACTGAGCTGAAGTTGACCTTACACCGCCTTTTGTCCCAGCAAACACACGGCACCAGACATATTGAGAAATGACCTTTCGAGAAGCCTCCCATGACAATTATTCTTCGCAGTCAGCATCGTTGCGCCACTCTCTTCAGCCGTCCTCGTGCAGGTTTCTCGATCTCAAAACCTCTCGAACTTGTTGCGACTGCCTCAAGAGCTCCTATAAACACATAGCTGCAATAAGCTGCTTCTGTTGGTAAAGGGTCCAGACAGAGCAAAAGAAATCCACGCTTACGGTCCTCACACGCTCTGACGTGGACAAAAACGTCGCGGGAGCTGCCCCAGCTGCTGAAGCTAATAAGATCTCTGGCAGCGATCCAAGCTAAAAGTTCACCGTCAAATACCTGCGAGGCCTCCTTCTTGACGGGAATGTCTCAATCCACCCAGGATTCGAAAGGCCGATCTGATAAAGATGTGCACCGAATCTAAACTCATCCATACGGAATTAGAGATCAGCGAGGCCGATGCTACCGGAGCAATAGGAAAAGACGGCTGCGGCAAAGAAGTCAATGGCCCTGTTCCTGATGATCATTCACGCCTACTGGAGAACATGCCGTCTCAATTCAACGACGTATACCACCTGATGCCGGATTTCGCCCCTACAGCGATCAAATTACCGGCGTTGCGAAACATTCTCTGCAGACACAATATCGTCTACAACGGAAAGGAGACCAAGGCAGATCTAGTCAATCTCTTCAACAAGTACATCAAGCCTAAAGCGGCCGCGATTTTAGCTGCAATTGAAGCCGTTGAGAGACCAGAAGAGGACATTGTGGATGTTAGATAAAGGTAATGGATGCCGTCTGGGAATTCTGAGGATCATGGAAAGGGAAAGTATGGGAAGCGGTGACTCAGCAACTAATGGAATGATTGACAAATCCCGGCTGCAGGATCCCTAGGTTGAGTGTGATAATCTGAATAGCCAAAGCCTCTGTAGGCACAAAAGAGAATCCAAACTTCGTTTGCTGCCAAGATAAGCAGCTTCGCGGACGGTCAGGGCAGCAAGTACCAAGGGCGGTGATGACCACGGGGCCATATGCATCGGAAGTGAATGCGCCACTTCGAGTGCCTTATTAGAAGCTCTGGCTTCCAGGTATATGCATAGCCGACACCTTGGCGAGCTATCATGAAGCTTTGTGCCGGTCGTTCATACTGCTTTCTTTGTGATCCAACTGTCCCCGTTATCATCGGCAGCGTTGTTGCGGTGACAAAGCAGCTTAATCAATCAATCCGCAACGTCTAGAACCATTGAAGATGCGTCGTTCATAATGCCTGGAGCTGGTATCGCCTCATCTCAGTGATTTGAAGTGACGGCTGCAAAGGCTATTGACATTGTTACCCTGAGGGACAGTGATGTCAATCGTTTTGGTTAAAGTAGCGATTTCCGTTGCCACTGGCATTACCTGCGACATCTAGGGTGGCAGTAATAAGTTAGGGATTCAGCTTCGAGATGATGCTATATTCAGTGATCACATTCTTGCCCACAATTGCACTGATGGCGGTGATCAATCAACCTGCCGTCACAAAAGTCTCTAGACTTTCAAAGCGTTTTGGCGGCCATGACCCACGGGTCCACGAATGACCTCAACACCGCCTCATGAGAGAAGATTACATCGAAGTCTTGATGTTTTGTAAATCTATCGGTTACTTAAACTCTCACGGGGCGTCTTTGAGGCGACAGTACTGGAGAACGCAGCCTTGACAGGGGATGAAGGGTAGCGTGGTCCGCTGTGGGAGAACCCTGGTATGACATGAAGTTCAAGAAGCTCCGGAGAGGATCTTGCGGATTTCGTGGTCTTCAGTCGATTAAAATAGCTGTCCATTACGTTGTCACTGAAAATTGGTGTTAAAGAAAGTGAATGATGTATTATCACGCATGTAGAGGCTAATTAGATGACCAGTCACTACTTAGAGTGATGGAAGTCAGTGCAAGATGCGTCTATCCTAGGAAATACAATTACATTGCCTTTTCGAAAAGAGGAACTGCATCTGTCCACAGCAAAGTTTCGTGAGTTAGCGAAGATAGATCTCAAGCCGACTGGTAAGGTGCCATTGGTCTACACTATGTTTTAATTCCTGGTATGAGGGAGAGAATTACAGCTAGTGAACTACGATGGGCCTTTTGCCAGAGCCAAGAACGATGGATGCGGCCACTCAAGAGAGATTGCACGAGGAGCTGAGCCTTTTTCTGTATTCTAGAAACACATGACATATAGTGGATGTATTGCAGTCCCGACAATCTTCAGCTTTTCTCTTGGCCTTCCCCTTCTTGCGCGTCCAGAGAGGGAAAACCACCTTTCGCGGAGACGCAAGCTAAGCCAGTGTTCCAGAATTTGTTCCAAATTTAGAGGGTTTCAAGGACTGTGTGACGACAATCTTGTAAAGTCTCTATCTCACACTTTACTGATGTGTCCGCCATCCACAAATAGCGATCATCATCAAAGTGCAAGCGTGCTTCACAGTGAAAGATGGCAGATGCTGGTCGTTTGATCCTTGAATGTCAACGAGGTCCCTGACACCGGTGTGTACATTATGGCATTATGGTGCCGACAACCGACAACCGTAGCTCGTGCCCCGTTTCAGGGGCTACCTTAGCACAACAACGTGATACAAAGGTCAATTGGTATGATTTACTGTGCTGAGGTAGCGTCCTAAGCGATGAAGCAGATGTATTTAAGTCAACGGATCATCCACTTCGAGACACGATATGAGCCTTGGAATGGATGGGACCAGAGAGGATTCCATTGCGAGGAATTACCGAGAAGGGTTTGCGGCTTATGATGTCCAGGTGTTCTATGTGCATTGCCGGGCATTGAAGATCGAGACCCCCGTCAAGGACTTGAACATCTAAAGCACAGCCGACGCATTCCCTTCCCGAATCCAAAAACTGGTTGACGGTGGTTTGGAAGATTAATTTCACTCTGGAATATCCTACGAATGTGTCCCGATGGGACCCGTCTTGGTTTCTCTCATTCCCAGTTCCATCACTGCACTTCTTCTCTTCTTTCAAGTCCGGATTATTGTTAGCATCAGAAGAGAGGAATCTCGCCGTATCAAGGAGTTTGCATCGCATGCCGACGCGTCAGGGGGTCGTATCCTAGCAGGACATCATACCTTATGAGTAGTTCCGCCTCGAAGCCATCTGTAATTCAGCGGCCTCGGTTGACAAGTGAAATGCGAGAGTGGGCGAAGATGGAATCGGTGCCAAAATTGAACGGGCAAAGTGTAAGGCGCAAAGGCGCCGAGTTAGCAGCTAGCCAGTCGGCTGGTCCGAGAACAGACTTATAGAGGGATTGACGCTGACCGATGACAGTCAATACGCTCGCTGTTTCCGGCGTCATTATCTTGGAGACATACCCAGCTGACTATATATCCCAAGTCTCGCGTCCAATTTCAGTGACAGTCACCGCTGATGACATGTTTTCTTTGGAGGAAAGATTCAACAGGTCAGGAAATGATACAATAACCAGCACCGCCATACCCACACCGGTCTTATTATCTTGCGTTGCCTCGATCTACCATTCAATATTCGTAGCAATTGGAAAGCCGTTGAAGTGGAAAGCCGTTGAAGTGGAAAGCCGGTGAAGTGGAAAGCCGGTGAAGTGGAAAGCCGGTGAAGTGGAAAGCCGGTGAAGAGATGTACGTTGCGTAGCTGAGTCTTCCCAATAACTGCCCAGACAACTTTCATATAGTGCTCATCCTTTATCAACTTCTGAAAGGTAAGTCTAGGATTCGGTTGGATATAACGTTCTTTGCTTTCCAAATCCACACTCTCGTACTCGCTCTATTTAGCGCAGTCTCTAGAAGCGTAGTATCCTAAATATTGGCGCCCCTTTTTCGTGTATCCAACACTACTTTATTGAACGAAGTTCATATGTTTGGAGCGGGAAGGATCGTGGGAACAATGGCGCTGATGTTATGAACGGAGATTCCGGATGAAGGAAATAGTCCGAAGTCGTCAATAGGTGGCTTTTACGAAGAGACAACGCGACCCAAAAGAATTTCCACAATAGATTTTGGTTGTGGTAAAGGGCGTGGTAGGATAATGGATTTACAACACATTGTGTCTTTGGCGGCCATAAGTAGCTGATGAATGGTCAGCTTCGAGTTGTTTTATTTCACCTATCTTCACAAACGAGCAAAACCTAGGTCGTAATGCCCTTCGGCTTTGAAATTTTCCCAAAAGAGGCCGCCTTATCAGTTCTTTGCCTCCGATGTTTGGCTTGTCAAGTCTCAGTGTCAATTTCATCAGAGTATTCGGGTGGAAACACCAGGAGTGACCACCATGCCGAGCTAACTTTATAAACCTTGGATGTACTTTTGGCGCTTTAAAAAGATGAGCATCGAGCTCAACATGTGCCTGGGGTTTCCATTTCCGAGTGATCTGATAGCGCGATGTTGCTAAATTTCGCCGGCCCCTTTGCGTTTCTTAGCGGATATTAACTTGGACAACAAGCTGCAGTGACGAGTCCAACGCAGCACTGAAGACCCAGACGATATGACCCACACCCAACCAACACATTTCTGCATCAACGTCCGCAGCGTGGATGAGGCTGAGTGGAACGTGGCCGTCTCAGAGAACTCCCAGCGAGCCATCACGCAGGGAGTCTAGATCACAAAATCCCTCAGTATTGCCCAAGGACGATCAGTCGCTGAGGGATCCAGCGATATATGCTAAATTCGCCGTTCTCCACCAAAAAGGTACTGGGGGTGGAAATATGGATGCAATTCTCTCCAGAGAAGTACTAAAATCTCTGCCGCTAGAAATGATATTCTTCCGGCGATACGGCACCCGACCACAGGTCGCCAAGCCGGTGAAAGACCTGCTACTTCAATATTTGCCAAAGGCAAATGCAGGGCAATGTGTAGAAACGATTACCCAGAGCGTGCCACTATTTGCGATAGAACCTCATACTATCACATGCAGCCAGAAGTCGGGGCTTAGCCATGTTGAGCAGGTGACTGCGAAGCAGCTTCAGCATCCACATCAGGGGCACAAAATCCCCTCGGTGGATCAAATTCTAACCAGTCTCCTGTCGCTTTCATCCCACGATCAAGCAAAGTTGAGAATGGTCGCAAGACAAGTGCGAAGGTATGCAGATCCTGACACACAGATAGCCCAAAGAACTGATCCAAAGCCGGCCAGTCCATGATTTGGGAGAGAAGGTGGCGGCAGCCGTGCGCGGAGTGACGACCGTGTTGGGTCGATGCTGCCAGATCATATGCTCGGCGACTGGTGCCAGAAGACCCTCAACTTCGAGCGCTCTAACAGCCTTCTCACCAGTAGAATAGAGCAACCGGCGGACTGCTTTCCGCACTCCTGTATATGCTCTGTGTAGGTATATTTTGTGTACAAGTGCATGTAAGTCTGCACAGGTACATGCTCTGCACAAATACAGGTTCTCTGTGTAATTACCGTCGCAGTTGAACAGCAACAAGGTCCGGGCATCGGCCTTGCTGCTGCCCCACAGGCGCCTTCTGAGAACTGAAACATGCTTGTGTCCGGACAGACCGGGGCCTACCGAGTTCATCTTCCCGGCCGTGTGCCGGGAGATGTGGGGACTGGCCCGTGCTATCCGCAAGGTGGGGCCCGGCCATTTCGGACTTGAGACGCCAGATGCTTTCCTCGCGGCGACTCACAGCGACCGGAACGTGATATGATCCAGCGGCAACGGGGAATAGTTGCTGCTTCAAAACACCATCAAAGATATTTTACTGGTTACCGCAACTCGGCTATCTTCGCTGCGACCTTCAAGGAACTAGTAGTGGTTCTCGGCAACCCCCAAA